TATCTAGTCAAAAAGAAAACCAACAATTAAGGTTAAAAAAATTATAATGAAATTAAAACTCACATTTCACAAATCAAAGTTCTAGAATTTTACTCAAAATGGTTAATAAAATTGTACTCCATGCAATCTAGTAATACAAAAAGTACTTAATCTTTCATTTCCAACACAAAAATACCATTAAATGCATAGGCTGAAAACCCTGAAATCAATAACCAAATCCAATCCATGGCAAGAAGTTAACAGAAATAGGAAATGTCAAAGCTTGTTGATTTAGAAACAGGACAGAAATGGCAAAATTTTTCATAGATCTAACAATCCAATACACCCCAGAACTTGGGTGATTAACAAACAAAGCTCAGAGATTAAAGAATCTACAATCTACTCCATGTATATGATCAAACAGTTCGTACCTGAGATTAGTAGAAACTCCTCTTCCCTTTTTGCTAATCAACATTATCCATTTTCTCCCACCTCGATATGAAAAATTACAACAGAATCACCATGAAAATTAAACAGTAACCAAGATTAACATTACGAAGATGGAAGAATAGGTTTCGGAGGTGGCAGCAGTTGATGTAAATTCTGACCCCCCGGGCTTCCCCTCATGATAAATGGATGCTGCAGCAATTGCTGAGCCGTCCACCTCCTTGCCGGATCTCTCTGCAAGCAACAAGCGATGAAGTGACGGAAATCATTCGACGCCGTCGGCGGAGCCTCCGGCGGCTGCGACATACAAATCGCACACATCAAGCTCGCCCAGTCGCCTTGCCTTCCTACGGCAAATGGGAATCGTCCCAAATAGAACTCCAATATGCTCACCCCCAGACTCCATATATCTCCCGCATACCCATCGTACTGGCCGTGATTCAAATCTGTATTGATCCTCTCCGGACTCATGTAAGCTATGGTCCCAACCGATGAATTGCAAGGATCCATGGTCTGCGCTAAAATCCTGCTCACCCCAAAATCTGCAATCTTAACCTTCTTGCCGGAGTTAATCAGAAGATTCGACGGCTTGATATCTCTATGAACGATATGGCGTCGGTGAAGATAAGCCAGCCCGTTGAGGATCTGGCGGGCGAGATCCGAAAGATGAGTCTCGTGGTAGATGTGAGTTCCTTCAAGAGATCCGCCATCCATGAACTCCAACAGAACCTGGATTTCTCCGTTGTGATCGTACATATCGTGGCACTTGACCACGTTCTGATGGTCCACATCC